TGACCGTTAGGTGGACGGCCCAGAGGAGGTTCCAGACCCAGAGGACCCGTCCAAGTTCACCTCTGTGGGGGTCCAGGTGGAGGACGACCGGGGGTGAGGCGGCCATTTTGTTCCCTTTCTTTAGCAGACCGTCACACATCAGGGGGTAAAACAACAAAACAGCTAAAAGATCTGAATTGATTTTCTACATCTAACTATCTTTTAGCATTCTCTACTTCTTTAACATGTTAGCTGCTAGTTAGCCCCTTAGCTACTGGTTAGCTCGTTAGCTGCTGGTCAGCCCCTTAGCTGCTAGTTAGTCCCCTAGCTGCTAGTCAGCCTGTTAGCTGCTAGTTAGCCTGTTAGCTGCTAGTCAGCCCATTAGCTGCTAGTCAGCCTGTTAGCTTCTCTACTTCTTTAATGCCCATAAAGCTAAATTTGATCTGTTTCTCATGTAGCTGGAGCCCCTCTGATAAAAAGGTCTAATTTCCCAGACCTTCTCTCTCAGGGACTGGGGGACTAAACCATTGGTAGTTAGAGATATTGGTGGGTGACTATTTGGATGTGGTTCTGACCGTTGGTCTCCTTCTGCTGGGCAGATACCGGCGGTTCCAGCGCTCCAACAGTGTGACAGCAGCTGTGCAGGTAAGTTTCTCACGATTCTCCTGAGGAACTCTCCATTTTTTTTGTCCCCGGGGAACCAGGACCAGAGGGTTCTGGGTTGGAGTCCCGGGGGAACCAGGACCAGAGGGTTCTGGGTCGGAGTCCCGGGGGAACCAGGACCAGAGGGTTCTGGGTTGGAGTCCCGGGGGAACCAGGACCAGAGGGTTCTGGGTCGGAGTCCCGGGGGAACCAGGACCAGAGGGTTCTGGGTTGGAGTCCCGGGGGAACCAGGACCTTTCTGGGTGGTTCTGCATGTTCTCCTGTGTCTGTGGGTTCTCTCCGGGTTCTCCGGCTTCCTCCCACCCTCCAAAAACCTGCATGTTAGGTTGTTGGACTCCAAACTGCCCTTAGTGTGAGTGTGTGTGGTTGTTGGTCCTTGTGTGTCTCTGTGTGTCCCTGTGATGGACTGGGGACCGTCCAGGGGGACCCCGCCTCTCCCCATTGGCTACTGGGATAGGCTCCGCCCCCCCATTAGGGGTGATAATGGATGGATGGATGAGACTAGGAGCCCTGAGCTGCCTCAGACTGAATGCTAGGCTAACTGAGATTAGCACACATTATTCCCACACACACTGTCTTTGATTTAGCATCATCGTGTATTTATTGACTCTTGCTTTTGTCCTCCAGGCAGACTTGGACTTGCCCGACCTGCTCGATACTCCGATGGAGTCCGCCAACACTCGCCGGGAGGCGTTGTCCCCGGTAACCATTTCCCGCCAGTACTCCCGGGACGCGGCCACCTCCACCGTTAGCATCCAGGGCTCAGGGAACCACTACCACGCCTGTGCCTCCGACGACTACGAGGACGTGGGCTTTGACCCGTCCATCCTCCCCCCGCCGGACCCCTGGATAGACAGTGTGAATGACGACGCCCTCGACAACAACTACAACAGTTCCAGTATCCTCGAGGTAAATTTATTCTATTCACTCTATGGAGTCTGGGTCCTAGAACCATCCAGGCCTCAAACGTTTCAAAACTTTAAGCTAATGTAATGGTGAATATGTAGGCTACAAGTAAAACTGAGAATATAAGAAAAAATTTAAGAAAAAAATGTGTGAACGTTAGCATGGTAGCGTTAGCATGGTAGCGCTAGGATGGTAGCATTAGCGTGGTAGAATATAAGAAAAAATATAAGAGAAAAATCCATTTATACGAATAAGATCACCTTGAACTGATAAGAACTCTCAAAATACTCTATGGACTCTGGGTCCTAGAACCATCCAGGCCTTAGACGTTTCACAACTTTAAGCTAATGTAATGGTGAATATGTACAAGTAAAACTGAGAATATAAGAAAAAATATAAGAAAAAAATGCGTGAGCGTTAGCATGGTAGCGTTAACGTGGTAGAATATAAGAAAAAATATAAGAAAAAAATCAATTTATACGAATAAGATCACCTTGAACTGATAAGAACTCTCAAAAAACTCTATGGACTCTGGGTCCTAGAACCAGCCATGCCTTAAACGTTTCACAAATTTAAGCTAATGTAATGGTGAATATGTACAAGTAAAACTGAGAATATCTTAAAAATATAAGAAAAAAATGCGTGAGCGTTAGCATGGTAGCGTTAGCGCGGTAGCGTGAGAAAAAAATCCATTTATACAAATAAAATCACCTTGAACAGATAAGAACTCTAAAAAATGATGTTTTTTGGAGCAATTGCAAAGGGATCTCAGTGTCTTCTTCCTCATTGTCCACATCTCTGATGCCAAAGGTTCTGTGGCTTCTGGTTTTTAAAGAGGTAAATTTATTCTATTGACTGTATGGACTCCTAGAACCATCCAGGCCTTAAAGGAGACATATCATACCCTATTTCAACAAGTTAAGCTAGTTCTAGAACTGCTATTGGGCTTCATCCTTATGGGATTCTGACCAAAGCTTGTCACAGACGTTACATTAGGACACCAGGGAACTAGCTTAACTTGTTGAAATAGGGTAGAATATGTCTCCTTTAAAGAGAAACAAAAGAAACAAAGTGGGAAACACTCACTGGGAGTGGAAAGGTAAAACCAGTCACTCTAGAAACGAGGCAGACAAAGCTAATAACGCTCGATAACTAGGAGGCAAAAAGCCTAATGAAGTACCAAAATAATCTCACTTGGACGAGGAAAAACAAAGAAAGGTTCAAGGCTTGAAGACCAGGTTAATTACAGGTCAAAGATCGAAACCCACTGGCCCCAGACAAGGAGAGACCAGACTATTTAAACACATGAATGGAGGGAACCCCATGGGAACCAATCAGGGATTAGGGGGGACAACCAGAAAGGTTACACACAGGGGATGCTTGTCCCAGACATTATATTAAGACACCAGGGAACTAGCTTAACTTGTTGAAATAGGGTAGAATACGACTCCTTTAAGACATAGGTAGCAGTCCTTTACCAGAAGACCTGAGAGTCCTTGGATTAGGTCGGATATGTGACTGGAACCAGGCCGTTAATAGCCTCTTAAACCCTAACATCTATCCTCAAACATACCCGGAATCAGAGCCTGGCCTCTCCTCAGTGTGTGTGAACGTTTAAAGGGGACATATTATGCCAAACCAAGTTTTTAATCATTTGATTATAAATATTATATTATAATATTATAATGATAATATTATAATAATATTATATTATAAATGCCTGTTTTGGCAGGGGGACTGAACTGCTATTGGGCTTCATCCTTATGGGATTCTGACCAAAGGTTGTCACAGACATTACATTAGGACACCAGGTAACTAGCTTAACTTGTTGAAATAGGGTAGAATATGTCTCCTTTAAGACACAGGTAGCAGTCCTTTACCAAAAGACCTGAGAGTGCTTGGATTAGGTCGGATATGTGACTGGAACCGGGCCTTTAATAGCCTCTAAAACCCTAACATCTATCCTCAAACATACCCTGGAGTCTCCTCAGTGTTTTTGACCGTTGCGTTGGCAGGTGGTGCAGCGGTCGGTGTGCCAGAGGGACGGGCGCTGGTTCCTGAAGCTGCTGCAGGCGGAGACCGACCGCATGGAGGGCTGGTGCCGGCAGATGGAGCTGGACCAGCAGGAGAACGACCTGCCGGAGGACAGTAGGTCCCACCTTAAAGTATTTATGATTCTGATTATGACTTTTCCTCTGGGTCCATAATCCGATCTGGTCCATAATCTGATCCTGGACGAGGAGGCAGGGGCTCCATAACCTCTGGAGGACCTCAGACAGTCTCCAGAGCTTCCCCGTTATTGCATTTCATTTCATTTTGTAGTGGTAAAGTTGTTGTTTAAATGTTTGTTTTCCAATTTTCCAATTTCTTTGTTTGTTTTCCTCAACAACCTTTCCCACCTTGGGTGTCCAATACTGTGGTCTGACGCGTGAAATTAAGTCCAGGAGATGGTTATTGTGTGTCTTTTGATGGTTTATTGTAAAAAATTCTGTCTCAGCTTGTCTCAGACCCATCACAGCTTTTATAGGCGCAGTTCCCGCTTTCACCTGTAGGTGGAAACATGGAAACAAACTGGCATAGAAATTAAGATATGTAGAAATTAAGAAAGTAGGTTGTCAAATAACTAAAATAAACAAATGGCTCCTACACATTTCATTTATTTTGAAACGTGATATGGTTTAACAATGTTTACATTGAATGCTTCATAAACATGCATCATGTTTCAAAAAGGAGTTGGATGAAGCATACATTTATTAAGCCCTACCCCTCAGTCACATGAGTTTTGGTGGTAAAGGACAATTATTTACAGTAAGACAAACAGTATAACTTTATATATATTACTCATTTTTGTATTCATCAAAAATACTTTTCTTATATTCTTTTTTGAATTGCTGGATTCTTTTACATTGTTTAATGTTTTCACTCCGCTAATTGATAAACTGAAGGTTCTTTTTGTTGTTTGAACATACTTAGTTTTGAAATTTAATTTTCCTCTTAGATTATATTTTCCATCTCTATCAGAAAACACTTGTATGTGCACAGGAAGTAAGTTATTTCTTGCTTTATAAAGAATTTTAGCAGTTTTGAAATCGATCAGATCTACAAATTTGAGAATTCTTGAATCAGGGAATAAACAATGAGTGTGATCTCTATAATGTTTGTTATTCGTTACTCGTATTGGTTTCTTTTGCTTAATAATAAGTGGTTGAATGTTTGTTTTGTTATTTGTAATGCTTCTGAAGGGGGTGGAGTGTGTTTGTGTGGTGAAATAACCCGTGTTTGCTCTCAGTCCTCAGTAAAATGAGGACCGCTATAGGAAGTGCACAGCTCCTGATGTCCCAGAAGTTCCAGCAGTTCAGAGAGCTGTGTGAGGACAACATGGTGAGTATGAAATGTGGAGAACATGTGATGAGCCACTGGGTTTAAATTTATATATATATATATATATATATATATATATAGGTGTATATACTATTGTTTTCCTGTTTCTATTCTTCAGCGTCTACCTACTCCCACAGTTTTCAGCCTATTTAAACAAATAAGGTCTCAAAATGTTCAGCTCCCTCAGCTCTATGCGGCTGTTACTTTTGGTGTTCAAATCTTTCTAAGTTTCTAAGTTTCTAAGTTTCTACTTTCTAAGTTATTTAACTTTTTCTGCTTTTATTTTCTCTCATTGAAATGAATGGAGTCAAAAACATGGCTCCCTCTGCTGGTCACTGGTATTTTACCCCTTTCAAATTCTTGCTATTTAGTCCTATGCAGCCTTTCTGAATGGGGTGTAGCTCAATGGTAGAGGGTTTGACTCCAGTTTGAGAAGTTCTTCTAATCCTTTTGCCTTTCTTCATCCACTCTTCATAGGATTTTGAGCAAAGTTTTTACCATTAAATTATGCAAAAGGAGTCAGACGCAAAACATTTCAGAAACCCTATCAGATATGATACATTTGGCATTATAGGGTTAACAATAACAATAACTTTCATTTTTAAAAAGTGCCTTTCATGCCACTCAAGGACACTTTACTAAGACGATCGTCATTAAAACATAAGAAAACATACAAAGTCATAAATAAAAACATCATAAATGAATACAAATGGAATGAATAACACTGTGCAAAATGAGGGGAATGTTAGAGTTAGGGGTGGTTAGGTGGGTCAGGAGTTTTAAACAGGTAGGTTTTGAGTTTTGATGTATTTCCTGAACATTCAACTCTTTCCCAGTTGGCCTAAAATGTGGGACTGGTGCCCTATAAACTGACCCCGGGATGTGGGTGGTTGCTTGTCTGTGTGTGGTCCTGTGATGGCCTCCTGCCCAGTACCAGCCCCCCCCCCTGGACTCTTCTAACCCTCTGCCTTTTCCCCTGGACCAGAACCCGAACACCCTCCCCTGCCACGTGGCCTCGGACCTGGCTGGCTGCTGGGACATGCTTCAGCTCTCGATTGAAAACATCAGCCTCAAATTCGACGAGCTTCACCAGCTCAGGGCCAACAACTGGAGACCCCTGGACCCCCCGGAGAGAAAGGTACGGTTTCCCCTCTAAAGGCCTTAACACACATCATCTAATATGTGGAGTTCATGATAGAACAGATCTGCTCAAACATCCAAATAGGACCAAAAAGGTGAACAGAGCAAATGCACCTCTGTAAGGTACAGGGCCCTCCACGGTTATTGGCACCCATATTTAAGATGTGATTGAGTATTCCTAAAAATTCTCCATTTAAAAAAAAAAAGGTTGAACCCAAATGAAAAAAAAAAGAAAAATCCAACCTTTTATTTAAGTACATTACTTTGGTGGTAAGAATAAAATCACACGTTTAGAAAATAAAAAACGTGAAATCATGTGTCTTAAAATTTTCCATTGGGTGGAGGTCTGGGGACTGGGATGGCCATGGGACAACTTTGAATTTTGTGACTAGTGCACCTTTGTTGTGTATATTTTGCCACATGTTTTGGGTTTTTTCTCTTTTTTTCATTTGGGTTCTATGTTGTTTTGAAAAGAATATCATTTTTAGAAGGTAACCACTGGAAGACATCTTTAAAACAGCCAGTATCTCTGAGCTAGTAAAGCCCTGAGCAGCATGTTTTTTTCCAAAGACCATCCCCATACTCATGCTCATGGCTTTATGGTGGTTCTGCTGGGGGTCTGAGGCTAGGGTTAGGGTTAGGGTTAGGGTTAGGGTTAGGGTTTGGTGTCTGTGTCTCACTTCATATCCCATAATCCTGCTGGAGGAGCCTGTTTTCAGGATGTTGCATGATGTTTACAGCCTGGTTTTAGCCTGTTTGCAGCCTGTTTCCGGCCTGTTTTCTAGCCATTTTCTGGCCTGTTTGCAGCCTGTTTCCGGCCTGTTTTCTAGCCATTTTCTGGCCTGTTTACAGCCTGTTGCAGCCTGGTTTCAGCCTGGTTGCCGGATGTTTTCTAGCTATTTTCCGGCCTGGTTACATTCTGTTTCCAGCCCAGTTTTAGCCTGTTCCCGGCCTGTTTGCAGGATGTTTACGCCCTGTTTGCAAATTGGTTACAGCCTGGTTGCAGAATGTTTTCAGTTTGGTTGTAGCCTGGTTACAGCCTGATTTTCAGCCTGTTTGCAGCCTTTTTACAGCCTGGTTACAGACGTTTTCCGGCCCGTTTCCGGCCTGTTTCTGGCCTGTTTCCCTTCTCTCTGCAGCTGTACTCGTGCTGGCTCTCTGTTGTGACTGTTGTTGGCTTCGTCGTGTGCTCTCATTGTTGTCTTTTTCTTTCTTTTGTGTGTTTGTGTTGACAGTGAGGCGCTTGCAAACAGCCTGTCATCAGCCTGTCAAACAGCCTGTCAAACAGCCTGTCATCAGTCAGCATCACAGCACTGCCAGCCCCACAGGCCCTGACCCTCTGGGCCTCCAGGGATCCATACTGTCTGTCTGTCACCCATGCTTCCTGCTGCTGCTCCATGCCTGGCTTCTGTTTCTGTGTGCGTGCTAACGGCTAACGGCTAACCGCTAACGACCCAGAGCAGACGAGTGTGTGTCTGTTTTATCAAGAAAATCAAGGTTCAAAGAGATTAGGACCAAAACTAAATACTTGATCAGCATAAAAAGAGCAAACTAGGTCCCCCATCTTTTAGGCCGGGGCCCTCAAAAAGGCCTGGCTGTTAGCATAAAAAGAGCTAATTAGAACAGTATTAACCCTTTAAAGCCTGATCCAAGAATAAAACAAAACAGAAAATTACTTTTTTTTTGTTTGAATTCCTTTTTTGGCCTTTTAACAAAATATGTAAAAAGAAAAATCAGAAATACATATTTTATATTAATAATTTATTACTATGCGATAAGTCCAGATTATTTTCTGTGTAGTCTTCTGCCCCCTGTTATCAGGTGTATCTGACTGTGTACAATAGGATTTTGAGCCAAGTTTTTACCATTAAATTATCCAAAAGGAGTCAGACGCAAAACATTTCAGAAACCGTATCAAATATGATACATTTGGCATTACAGGGTTAATGTTTGTTTACATGTTTAACCCTTTAAAGCCCGATCCAAGAAAATAGGAAGAATGTAGGATTTTTTTAGTCTGAAGTCTTTCTTTGGCCCCTCAACAACATATGAAGAAAAAAAACAGGAATTATTTTTGATCAAATTAGCGTGCAATAAGTCAGAAATCTATGTTGGTGTAGTCTTCTACTGGCTGTTATCAGGTATATCTGAATGTGTACAACAGGGGTTTGAGCAAAGCTTTTACCACTGAATGATGCAGAAAGTCTCACATCCAAAAGAAACCCGATCAGATATCACACATTTAGCTTTATCGGCTGTTAGCATAAAAAGAGCAAATTGGAACAGTGTTAAGACAAAAAGACGTGAACTATTTCTGCTTTTTAATGTTTCTTTACACATTTAAGTCGGCTCTATCCATGTGGTGCCTGTGGGGAGCTCTGCTGACTCCCCCATAACGGCTAATCTGTGCTAGCTCCAGCAAGCTAGCTAGCTACAATGTCCTGACAAAAGAAGTTCTCCTGTAAACCCTAAAGCCCCCCCACCTCCCCAACCCTGTTCTGTCTCACTAGGAGAGGAGGCTCCCCCCTCCCGTGCCCAAAAAGCCACACAAGGGCCCCCACCAGCACCCCCCCCTGGCCAGGGACCGCTCCCTGGAGAGCTCTGAGAAGCAGCGGCAGGAGGCCCGCAAGAGGCTAATGGCCGCCAAGAGGGCGGCGTCCGTGCGGCAGAACTCCGCCACCGAGAGCGCCGACAGCATCGAGATCTACATCCCCGAGGCCCAGACCCGGTTATGAGGGGAAACAGGCCGGGAACAACCACACCAAACATATAAACACACACACAAGTATGGCCGCCCACTCAGAGGTCCAGCCAGAGCTTCCTCTTTCAGTTTCCCCCCCTTTGGATAAAGGCTAATAGGAGCTAATAGCTGGAGGTCCCCCCACCCTTTTGGGCAGATTGGATAAAGGCTAATAGGAGCTAACGTGAGAGAAAAGGCTGTAGAACAGCCTCCCAACCACCCAGTCTGAGTCCCACAGAGACCCTGAGGTAGTGGCTTCACCTCAAGTCTCAAACCCTGAGGACACAAACAAGTATGGCTTCCTCTTTTAGTTACCCCCGAACCCTTTTGGGCAGATTGGATAAAGGCTAATAGGAGCTAACATGAGAGAAAAGGCTGTGGAGGAACTTCCCAACAAACTGGTCTGAGTCCCACAGAGACTCTGAGGTAGTGGCTTCACCTCAAGTCTCAAACCCTGAGGACACAAACAAGTATGGCTTCCTCTCTTAGTTCCCGCCCAGATTTGATAAAGGCTAATAGGAGCTAATAGCTGGAGCTCACATGAGAGAAAAGGCTGTGGAGAAGCCTCCCAACAAACTGGTCTGAGTCCCACAGAGGCTCTGAGTCTCAAACCCTGAGGGAGTCCGACTCTAGCTTTGACAGGATTCGGTCACATTTAGCTCACTTCTGTGAAAACTCTGGTCAGAACTTCCTCCAATCGGAGCCCTGGCAACCGAAAAAAGGCCCGTTCTTCACCTCTGGAGGAGAGAGAATCAGTTTACTCGTACTCTTCCGAAACTACTCCGACGATTCATTTGTTGTAAATAAAGATAATTCTATTTTAAGCTTCCTTTGAGAACTCAGAAAGCCATCATGTGAATAACAAAGTGCTAATCCTGTGGGGTCAACATGTGAAGAACCAGAGTTTAGTCGAACCCAACTGGCTTCTGAGGGCAGTTTCCTTTATCTGTGGTTGGACTGGGTTTCAAGCTAATTCAATTCAACAAGGTACCTTAAGAATTAAGCAATATTTTGGAGATGAAGGGTTGACAGTGGACCAGGCCTGAAGGTCTGGTGGTTGTATTTTCAGCTGGAGCAACAATGGAGGAGAACCAGCTCACGTTTTGTACTGAAACAGGTCTTTCATTCAGCTTTGATATTTTTTAGAAACGTTTAGGCGGATTCCTGGTCCGTTCAGTTCGGTTTCAGCTGGCTGAGGAATACGTTGGAAATGAAGCTCCATTTCCATTTAGCTCTTTTCCAAAACGACTTAGAGAAGTGAACATTTCCTCTTTGGGGTTTCTGAGGCTTTAGCCAACAGAGGCTGCTAAACTTTTGACGTAAGCTAGCTAGAAACGAGGGAATCGAAGTCTGATAATGAGCCCCTGCTGCCCCGGATAGCTCCTGTTATTCAAACTAATGTGATCCAATAAGAGGTTCTGCAGTCTGGCAGGTTTTCTGTTTGTGTGGAGTGTTTGGATTAGCCTCTCAGAGAGGGTGAGAGGAACCACTCGGCCTCCTCTTTCCTCCCTGTAAAAAACGGATGATTAGGTCCAACCTGTGTGTTTTTAGTTGGTGAATGTTTGTGGCTCTGTTGAAGGAGGAGAGATGCTTAATCCACTGCCAGTGAGGAGTCCCGTTAGCCCCATTAGCCCCGTTAGCCACGTTAGCATCAGAGACGACAAAGCCATGAGAAAGGTGGGCTGGGAACCCTGAGGAGGTCAGAGATGTTCTCCGGTGCTCAGGAAGAGGTTCTGGAAGGTTCTGCTACTTTCAAAGGTCTCCCAAAGGTCTGTGAGAGTTGCATCCTGGGAAATGTGCCGCTAACTGACAGTTAGCGTACACGTGGGTCTGCTGGACCTCCTGATGGAGATCTGAGGCCCCCCTGGGTCGTCTAACCCCTCAAGCCTTCAGTAAAGCACACAACAAGCAGTCTGAGTACCCCAACATGAGGATAAACTCCCAAACAACCAACAGAAGTAGAAGATTTAGCTTCACCAACATGAGTTTGTCCCACAGCTGAGGAACGAAAAAGTTGTGGTGGTCTCAGGGTTCAGAGGCCAGGACAAACACAGGACAGTTCAGAGTTCATATCGAAGCACTTCTCAGTTACAGCCAGAGCTGATTGGCCGGTGGGGACGGCTCTCACAGAAAGAGCCAAAGTGTGGAAATAAAGACCTCCAAGAACCTGGAGATACTGGAACAGAAGACGATCATGATGGAAATAATCTGTAGTTATTTTCTTCTTTTGTATTGAGTACCTGTGTGTGTGTGTGTGTGTGTGTGTGTGTGTGTGTACAGCATCTTATACCTCTGCTTGTAAATGATAATGAGAGTAACAATGACGGTGAGCCATATTTAATGTGAATTACCCTCTAATCAAGAGGAAAGGGCCATAGCTGGTGAATAGTATATTTTTAAACCATTTACTGGAAATATTGTCTTGTTTTCATTACAAATGTGAGTTTGGGGGGATGGAACACCATAGAGGAAGAACAGGAATGCTTTTCCGACTCCTAAATGTGCTGTGTGGACTAACAAAAGGGAGACTCTGAACTGGAGAAGCTGCCAAACATCAGGGGAACCAAAGTTATTATTTATAAGCTGGGTTAAGCTAAAGGAGATGTTGGGCTAAACGAGTCATCTTCAACTGACCCCTGAACAGAGCTGGACCCATTGGAGCTCCTCAGAAGCTCCTCAGAAGCTCCTCAAAAGTTCCTCAGAAGCTCCTCGTGGCTCCCTGTGATCCAGCAGAGCCTCAGATCTGAGCTAGCATAGCAGGAAGCTAACCTGGGAGCCATGTTGTAACACCTCTACCAACCAGCCTTTCTGCATAGATACGAGCTCAGACTGTCTTCCAGCTGACCAGGTCCAGGTCCAGATGCTAACCTAGCCGTTAGCATAACCCCACACAGGCTAAATGGCTTCACATTGGGGGCTACTCCTGTTTCCCTGGCTGTTCCTGCTAGCTGGAGCTAGTCCCCCTCACCTGGAGAAGCTAGTGTTTGAGGAGGAGGTCCTCCTGTAGCTGGATGTGGCTGTTAGCACAGGTTAGCCCGTCCCTCTACTCCACCTCCAGTCACATTGGAGGGGTTAAGAGCTCGGTAGAAGATAGAAGATCTGGGAGGAGATCAGCTCAGGCTCTTGTGATTGGTCAGAGACATCTTGAGAGGTCCCATCATGTGACCCTCTGGCCACTTTGAGAACCAAAGAACCGATCCAAGCTTTGTTTAGCTAGCTCCAGCTCCTCTAACCCTCTCCAGACCAGGTTTGCTCATCCATTGGACGGTGGTCGAGGTTCATCTAAAGCAGTGCTTCTCAATTAGTGGGGACTCTGGGAAACAGGCTTTTTTTGGGCCGTACTAGTATAAAGTGTAATTGCGCATCCCCTCCAGTAGGGGCAGTGGCGCTAACATCGTTACTTCAATGCAATATTTTACGATTTAAAGACGACAGGTTAGCCTCGATTAGCTCCGACTGTCTATATCCTCCGTTATTCAACATAAAAACCCCAACATGAGAAAGTTTTTAACAGATGAAAAGAAAAGCGGAGAGAGACAAAGATAACAAGACAATAGAAAGTTACCCGAAAGCTAAGAGTTTTATATATTAGTTAATGTTGCTGAACTGAATATAAATTTGTTATTATTTTTGTTGTTTTTGTAGTTTTTTAGTTATTATAATTATTAAATATTATTTATTGATTTGATTTAATTTTGCAATGGTGCAATTAGTTGGTCATGTTTACAGTTTAAACAAGGATTTATTTATTCTTAATTTCAGGCATTGATGCACTTAAAATCCTTTCTGTTGCAGACTTAAAACACGATTTAATAAAGTTATTCTTTGTAAGTTTGACCATATGTCTTTCTTTTTTTCTTTTCTTTAATGTTAATAAGGATAATAATGCATAGATGGATAGTCAGGGTGGGGAGTGGGGGGGGGATCATTTTCTTCTTCAGAAAATAACTGAGAAGCACTGATCTAAAGGAAGATGATGTTTTGGGTCGTATTTATGCAGAAAAACAGAATATCTAGCACCTCCATAATTATTAAATGTTATTTAATAACAGAAAATAATTGAGAAGCACTGATCTAAAGGAAGATGATGTTTTGGGTCGTATTTATGCAGAAAAACAGAATATCTAGGACCTCCATCTGTGGTTCCTGGGTCAGTGGACGGTGACTAGAACCAGATGTTCCTCCTCAGACTAGAAGGTTCTCCTGGTGAGGTTCTCCTGGTGAGGTTCTCCTGCAGGTTCTCCAGCCCAGAGCTCCCAGTGGGTCCACCAGCAGGAGCGGGTCTGTGTGGTGCTTTTCTCCTCAGGAAAGAGGGGAGCGGTGGTCTGTGAACTCAGGATCTCCGTCCTGTGGAACGTGTGCGTGGTTTTGTGTTTGGAAGAGCGTTGTGTGACTGGAGTGTCTATGAAGTGCTTCCTGAGTACCTTGTTTTCTATATTGGGCCTCTCCTCATTATGATCTTGTAGCCACATTTAGTCACTCTGTATCCGCGACCGATCTCTTGTGTTTGTACAGAAAACTACAAAGATGTTTCACCACGCATGCAGACACAATATTAGTACATTTGAATCTATATCTAATTTGAAAACTTGTATTTGGTCTATTTATGCTCTTATTTATTGATCTTTTTTAACCATGGGATTCTGTTGAAGTGATCTGTCATGCTCCCCTGATCTTAGATTGTATTGTAAAGAGATGATTACATGTACCTAACTATTGATGAACCATAATAAAACCATCCATGAACTCTTCCTCTTTCTTCTTCTTTACAAAGCCAACATTTAACATGTTTTCTTCAAACAATGAACCCGAAAGGTTTGGGTGTTCCTCTAATAATATTCAGCTTCAGTGTGATTTTTCTTCACATTTTTCTTTTTCTTTTAAATGTGTTTAAACAATTGAACTATTTCCAGGCTGACACACGTTAGATGTGAGAGGTTTATTCCCAGGTTGACCACCAGGTGGCAGCAGAGCTCAGCTGGAACAGGAACCAAAACCTCCAGTTATAAAGTTAGTTATGAAGGTTGGACCGAAACCAAAAGACCAGACTTAACAGAACAGGTACAGGTGGGACAGACCCGGAAGCTCAGATGCTCTTAAGCTAAGCTAATAGCTCCAGAATTTAACATATAACACATTAGAGACCGTTAGAGTTAGAACAACTCTCAATATTAGAGTGTCAAAAGGGGATGGGCTGTTTTTAACTAGATTAACATATACATTTATATATATATTTATTCCTCCATGTGCATAACAAACCAAACAAACTCTTAAGCTAAGCTAATAGCACCAGAATTTAACATATGACTCATTAGAGACCGTTAGAGTTAGAACACCTCTCACTATTAAAGTGTCAAAACTAGATTAACATAAAGATTTATATATATATTTTTTTCCTCCATGTGCATAACAAACCACTTATCTTATTCCCTTAAAGTTATTTCAGGTTTTTTAAGACATGTTTTGAGAAAAGTGTTTTATTCTGAGTTTAGAGGGGATTTCGGGGATTGTTTAGAGATCAAACCTGTGGTTTTATTTACAGTTTACAGGTAAAGGCGGTTCCTGTACAGAGTAAATATAATGACGTAATGATGACGTCATCCTCCTGAGTCTTTATTTGGCTGGATCTATTTTTCCACCTCGATGCTTTGACACATAAACTATGAGAAATCTTAATTCCTAATAATTCTGTCCAATTACCCCAACAGCCCCAGGCAGTGCAGACATGTCTCCACTCAGATATCGGCCCAGCTCTGGGAGCCCCAGATTAATGTCCAAACCCATTTCACCCCCCCCCCCCCCCGCCCCCCCCCCCCCTCCCAGTTTCCCCCCACAGGACTTTCCAGGCTCTGAGTGGAGAACAGAGATTATGAGCATCATCTCCTGGGGAAAGGAGGCGAGGATTGGCTGGGTTTGGATATTAGGAAAGACCAAGGTCATGTTTTTTTGGCCAAACAATGGATTATGGGAGACTGGCCATTCCTGGGGAGTCCTGACTTCCTCTGGGGTCAAAGGTCATCACAATAAAGAGCAGAATAATAACAGAACGCAACAGATGATGACGGCTAATCAGACATGTCTCAGTTAATCCTGCTCTGGTTATCCACAAAAAACCATCAGACAAGCACCACAGAAAATAATATAATATAATATAATATAATATAATATAATATAATATAATAT